TTCCAACCTTAATGATTCTGATTCTCTCATTCTAAGAAGTGGAAATGAAAAGCAGAGGTTGCATAAGAAAGAATTAAAAAAATGATTAAAGAGTTGAATAAAGAAAAGGAATCATTTCTCACCTTTTCACCTTTAAAAGGCGCTAGTTACAAATGAAAAAAAAAAAAAAAAAAAAAGCAGGATTCAGAACTCTTGCTGAACTTATCTATTGAATAACCAATGAAAGTCAGTGCTTCATCTATTCAAACAACTCTACTAATCACCAAGACTTATTTGGATTTTGCCCAGCAGAACACAAGTGAAAATAAATAAATAAATAAAGATCTTCAGAACAAATAAAATATCTGCAGGCAACCTGTGGCTTCCAAGTTATTAGAATAACCTCTGTCTTCCCTCGAACTCCACTTGATGGTCAGAAAAATCCCACCTGTATTACAGGGAAGGAAGGTCCTAATTATCCAGGCTTACTGCTGGTCACTAAGACTCACTTTCCACAGAAGGAAAGTGTTGAGAAACACACAGTCCTGGTAAGGTGGGAGTTATAAGCTACAGCTTAGAAGAGAACGTGGTTTAAAGGCAAGAACAGACATCAGGTGACATTATGGCTAAATGTTCAGAGCAGAACTTCAGAACAACCCAGCAATCTGCAGAACTTGACTTGTAGTCATGTGTCTTCCAGGAGAATAGCCTTTTGAGAACATGCCCTCATTGCCTGCCAGATGCATCAGGTCCATCAGTGAAGCTTTAATATCACATCTGATTTAACTTATGCTTCAGAATATCTTTAAGAATCTATAACCTAAATCAGGAGCCTAAATATCATTAAAATCCCATTACTGAGATTCTCATTACGTCACCATAGAAAAGAAAACTGTTAGTGCTGCAAACTGAAACTCTGAAAACAAAAAGCAAATTATATGTATGCAATTATTGCTTAAATCAAGTCCCAGCTTAGGATGGGATATGGGGAGGAAAAAGCTAGATAGGAAAGAAAATTGTGATACTCACTTGTTCTTAATTTGCTCAAGGGGCCAGCACATTTCTTTCCTTTTAACCATAGACATTTAAAAGTCTTAAAACCTCCCTAAAGAGGTTCAGATTTTCTTGTCTATGAAGATTTAATATGCTATTAAGCAAGAAGTAGATTTTTTATTTTTTTCCAGTGTTCCTCTTCACATTCACTGAAACCGTGAATCATAATTAAATCAGTTAAATTGAGAGGCAAACAGAAAGATTCTGCAGCCTATGGAACTGAATCCCTGTCCTGGGTATTTGTTCATAGAAGTGGGAATTGCATTATTGTCAGTGTTGGGAACACGTCTTGAATTACATAACTCTCTAAATGGTTTACAACTGAAAATCAGATACATTCTACAAGGAAAACTTTCTCTACTGTGTTCTTCTCTATGGGCTTCTCAAAAGCCCATTGAAATGTAGTCATGTCGAAGTAGGTCTCCTGGCAACTCCCTCCTAAAGATTACAATACACTGCTCACTGATTGTTCTTCGACTGAAGAGAATAGTGTAAATAGCTGGATCAGCAGAATGTGAGACTGAAGCTTATTGTTGCATTAGGGTATTTTTAGGACTGTGCAAACTGATACCATCTAACAACCTAGAAAGTGAATGCAGGAGCATAGCTGCATCTGCCTTTCCTGGAGATTAAAATCAATAGCTTGGTTACTTTAGATTTCTGTCTCCTTGTAACATCTCCCACAATAAGGAAAGGAATTCACAAAACAATTTACGTACAGATCTATAGGCACAGAGACAGCAGCACTACTCTCATCCTCTGCCTTCAGTATAATTCATTTATAATTATGGAAGGGCAATACCTTGAGGAATATGGAAATAATGAGGAAGAGCTTCATGGTTCAGTAAGGTTTTGACCATTCCTTTGAGACAGGACGATTCATTAAAGTGCTGCTAAGGCACTAAGGAAGCATATGGGCAGGACAGATCCAACTTCATCATAAGCCAGAAGAATTTCTATCCTTTCTGACTTAGAATGGTTCAAAACAGAACCTGGATACACAAATCACTCAAGATGCTCTGTTCTAAAGAGCTAGTGTTTGCAAAAGACCCCAGATACAAAACTCTGATCTTATATTTTATCATCTTCTCTGTTTACCACTCCAAAAACACAGGTATAGTCATGTACATGGAAACATAAAAATTTCCAGTCCAAAACAAAATGCTGGTCCCTCCCACATAATCTTTTCTGGCAGAAGATGGTGTCAGAATCTACAGAGTAAGAAGAGAGACTCTACAGTATACTGTAATTATCATTACGCGATCCAGGAGAATTAATATCTTCTCCCCTTCTTTTGCTTTCAGAAGCATTCACATTAATCTCATTGACAAAATGAAAGTATAAGAAAAGAGGATCTCAGGTGCTACTGATGCCATTCTTACACTGATGCTCATGCCAAGTTTTATTACTTTGAGTTTCAGGTCCAAGAAAAAGTGCAGAGGGCTGAATTACCCAGAGGGAGCAAGGCTGACCCTTGAGGGTTGCTTTATAAGATAGCAAATTGGTCTTTAAGATAGGTATCATATCACCAGTGATGATGAAGGGCAAGACCCTGTCAGCTGATTACAGTGTTTCCAGTCCAGTATTTATTTACACAGATAATTAATTCCTCTGCAGTTCAAACATTTATCAACAATTCCATTACCTAACTCTCCATTCTTAGTTTTTTGTGAGACTAGGCACACTGACAGCTTCAGTAACCACCATCTAATTAAAGTAATTGTTGGACTGCATTCCTTATTCTGTTTCATGTATAATTATACTCCATGGGAAATCTTGTGGGATTTGAAACAGACTTTTAATCTATTCCACATGAATCAAAAACAACTCCCAAGAAAATATCTTAATAGCCATGTTTAACAGTGTGCTACTTCATTTGCACCAGAGATTTCACATCCTCAGTGCTTCTCACAGATTTTTTCAGTCACATAGAGAGGACGAAAGGTTTTTTCAAAAGGGAAATTCTTCCTAAAATTTTCGTACATTAATTAAGTTGGTTTTAAAGGGAAATCTTTGTTGAATTATTTGGACAAACACTCCTAGTGAAACTGATAGCTGCTACTCCTGAAGTTTTACTCCTGAAGTTTTATGACCAGTTGTACTTTGATTCTGTTCCTCAGATTTAGTACGATCCACTCACCCTCTCATGAACTCAACTTCCTTATTACCTGTCACGAGCTTATTACCAATTTTGATTCAATGGCAATATGTACTATCACTATTACTATGTTTATTGCACCAGCTTTTCAAGATGTCTTATTCTAACACTGACATCATTGCAGTTCTTCACTGTAAAGTAATTCTACTACAGCTGACACCAAAAATAAAAGCAGAAAATAGGGAGAACTTTTAAAGAACTGCCTCTTCTGTATTCTTTCACACACAGAGTGCTGGAACCAGATGCTGCCAGGACCAACACTTTGACCTGAGTGGAAAAGCATTCCTGAGTCCCTTACTTCAAACATGTCACATAAAGAGGATTAATTAATTAATCCTTTTGGTCCTTCAAAACTTCTCTTGCCATTTGAAGAGAAAATTGTTCAAATTGTCCATGGCATTTCAAGAAAAACCTGTTTCAAAATTGTGTATGAATTTATTACTGATGCTCAGCTATGCTTTATAAAGATAAAGCAAGCTCAGTCTATCTAACCCTTTAGATGTGTCACATACAGTACATACACTTTTCTGACTCAGAGCATTCAGGTATCTTTGTTTCTCCTCTTAAGGGAAGGTAACCATGCTAATAGTTATGACTCAAAACAATAATCCCTTCCATTCATATTGTAACACTATTTTGGTTTACTTGCAGCTTTTCACACTGGTTAAAAAGCCAGATAAGTGGATCTACAATGTTCATCTTTCATGTTTCATATGACAATCTTATCACATTGTCTTTCTGTAATATCAATTAAATCAGGAGCAGTCATTAGAAATAGTGTTGGTCAAGCTATTTATAAGATTAATTAATTGACCCTTTTCCTTTTTTTCTTCCTATCTTATGGATTTGGCAGCCTGAAGTCTGTGGACAAACAATTTCATGGATATGTTTATTACAATTTTAAGGGATTATATATGTATTTAACTTTAATGTCATGTCATCTGGGCCCGATCTTTGTGCTAGCCAGTACTTAGACAAATGGCTATTAAATTATGCAGGCAGATCTCAACTGGCAAAAAATGCTTCATATTGACTCATTACAGAAAACTCTCAGCAGTTCATCAGATATTCGCTGACAGGATTTGCAGCTCATCAAGAAGCCACATTATTTCCTCTTCCTGGCTGGACAGCCCAAACAGCATAATGTGCCATGGCAATGTAGGACGCTGCAGTTAGGGCACACATTTCCTGCTTGGACAGACCTGGGACTGCTCTTTGTCATTATCACTTGGCCAGAAGAAGCACCGAATCAACATGCAAAGCCAGATGCTGTCACACAGGCTGAAAACAGGTTTTGTCATATCTACCTCTGTGATCACTTTGTGAAGCTTTTCTAGCCTTTTGCAACTAAAATAACACTTTTTTGGCAAAAAAATATTGGCCAAATTATAAAAAACAAACAAAAAAACAAACAAAAAAATTTTTCTCAGTGTGATTACTGTGCCTTGACAAACAACAAAATTCATTCTTCATCAATAATTCTATAATGCAAACAAAGCTTCGCAGATATTCCCGTGTCTTTGTGAGCAAATACTGCACAGTTGAAATGGTAATCTAACAAACTGCCTGTGAAAAAGTTTCTATTGTAATCCTGCAGTTAGAGTTAGCATTGCTCATTAAAAGGTTGTACATTCTGAAAGTAAGAGAACTGATATTATAGAGGGAACAAAGCAGATCTCAAAATGACAGCAAGCCCAAAGCACTATTTTGTGAATATCTTTACAGGGTCAGACACATAAAACTGTTTCAGAAACATTCTATTTTATAAACATTGTTTATAGAGCAGTGCATTTCAATGTGGTTTTCTTACCTTATTCCACTGTGTTTTTTGTCACCCCATGTACAATTCTGAGCAGTCTCTTTGCTGTTGATCTGTCATGGCACTGTGCAGGCTGGCATCTCCCCAGGACCAGAGGTGCCAGGATCTCAGGGGTTGCCCAGGCTGACGGGGAACACAAGGACAGCCCCAGCTCCAGGTACCTCTCTGGAATCAAGACAAACCCACGTCAGGTCAGGATGTGGGCCTGAGTGAGCCTGGCTTACTAGCAGCTGCAGTCAAAGCTGCAGTCAAAGCTGCAGTCAAAGCAGCTGCAGTCAAAGCAGGAAGCCTTCAGAAATGACAGCGAATACCATTTTTCAGTCATTTGTGACTAATCTCAATATCTAATCTGTCTTCTGTGAACAAAAGCCATCCTGCATGTGTTCACTCTCTACCCAGGTGACTCAAACTAAGCGATGCTTCCACATGAGATCTCACCTCACCTGCTCCTCAATGTGTCTGCAGCCCATGATCCTGCTTGCCTGATTCCTAAAAGTGACAAGATGATATATTAGTGGTAGTCTATCTAAAAGATTACATGACCAACACAAATTACAAGAATTATTGAGAAAGAAACTTAGACTTAACATTTTCATATGATTTTTTTCTTATTACAATTCCAAAGATTCACAAAAGGATCTCAAATGATTCCACTAACATGAATCATACTCCCTGTTGCTGAAAATAGTATTTTTGACATGGGTAATAACAAAATTATTATTTAAACAAATTCTGGGGAAAATTGGAGAGGTAGAATGAAGTGGTTGTTGAATTCTTTCTAATGTGTACAGACAATTGTAGAACAGAGAATGCAGCTATAAAATATGGCCAGGTAAATGTTATGAAAGAAAATCCCCAAGATATTTCAATTACTAAGTATTAACTGAGTTAAGCCATATAAAAAATCCATAACATGTCAGTTTCTGACCTCTTCCATCTCTCTGGAGTCTGCCCTCACAGCTGACTCAGAAAGAAGAGCAAGAAGAGTTTCTTACATTTGCAAGCACTGGAAAACTGTGTATCAACTTCAGAATAAATAGATAAATAAATAAATAAATCTTTCTTTCCATATTTGGATTTCTTTCAATCAACGCTTTCCAAACATGGCAAAACAGACTTGTGTCTTTCTGCAAATTTTCAAACCACTCTTCATTCCTATCTGACCTCCTGTCATCACTAGTAGGAATAGGATATGAATCTCGGCATTTCAGGATTTCTCACTAGCAATAGATAGAGAAATTGGGAAACACAAGAGATTCACTTAAATAAATACTGGCAATAGCACATCTCATCCACTTTTAAAGTCATACAATCAACATGAATGGTAGATTAAAATGCACCTACAACATCTTAAACACTTGTTAAAATTGTCCAGTAGTGATTATGGAGTAGAACTGAGATTCTGCATCATTTTAAATTTCCTTTATTTCAGTCTTTCACTGAAATTTATCTGAGAACTGAAAAATCAAGATACAGCAATGGAACTAGATCCTCACAAGCCAAATTTTCAAACAGAGCTTTTACAAAGGAATAAAGATGATTTTGTTGATTTAAGGAAAGTGTCTCCACTTTCACTTCTTTTGTGGAGTAAAGTAGAGATTAATATCACTCAGGTACTGGATTGACAGATCCTATTGCCTTACTATCACTGATTCTTGAGGAATTTATCTCTTGGGATACAAATCCATCAAATTAATTAGAGATTTCTGTGTGAATTAAAAAATAGTTCTAAAGAAAATCAGAAAAAAATCTCTTAAGATGAGACAGATGTGTTATTAAAAACTTTCATGGATAACTTCCACTGGAAGAATTTATACAGCATATGTAGACCTTCTGCTATAGATGAGTGCAGGGAAAGGAGTATTTTACACGTAACAACATTGGTGCTACATCCTACTACCTGAAATCCCAAGGAAAAAGATACTGGCAAAGGCAAGGCAATGTAATTGGCATGCATGTTTTTCTCAAATTCCATGCTCCAAAGATGTCACTGATTATACTTACAAAAATTCCAAATAATTTCTGTAGCCATTATACTTACACATCTACAGCTTCTTAACAGCAATTTTAGATGAGCAATGTTGAATAAATGTGTTTAAGGGAAGACAGGGAAAACCAGTGGTGTTAAAAACTAAAATGTTTAAAGTGTTTAAAACTTAACTCTTGTCCGCCTTTTGTTCTACAAACTAAACTAAATTCTACATTACGTTGTTTGCCCCTGATCAGACTAGTTCTGCATTCATGTACTTTAATACTTGTGCCTGAAATTTGGGCACCTAAACTTTCACACTGCCCTAAAATACTTCTAGTCCATAAAGTGAAATGACCAAGTTCAAAAGTGGAGCAATCATCATAAGGGAAGCAACTTAGGGAAATCAGTTCAGGTCTAGATGCTCAAAATACTACCCAGTGTGCCTATCAGAAAGAATATTCAAATGTTCACAACAATGTACTAAGCTACTCAGCCAATTTAGGGTTATCTGCCATTACTGAAGCCAATGAGATTCTTTAAACTATTACTAAAGCAGCTAAATCAGAACTATTATCCCCTCTTACAGGCAAATTAGTGCTAATTTAAACACCTAGATATAATAACTATGACAGGATATAATGAATACTATACTATTGTATTTGATTAATTTTGAACAAATGCACTACTGACACAAAAGGCTTTTCTTAGAGGGCCACATACACCTTCCATGTAAAAAAGATATCCATGAAAATTCTTAAATCTTCTTCATACTTGACTCCTCACACACTGCTTCTCCTAATTTATAACTCTATCTTGAAATGCCAAAAAAGGCAATGTTTGTACAGCCAGACAAATGTCAAACAATTACTAGATGGAATCAGAATCAAACATGAAAGAACAAACAGCAGGAGGTGCTTGCTGAATTTTGGTGAAGGTTGTGGCTGATCTGTCATTCAATCAGACCTTTTGCTCTCTCAAAAAATCTGTCATTTTCCACGCTTTTCTTGGTTGCCTATCACACTTCCAGACTTGTTATGGATAGTAACAATAATGTTATATTCTATTCTGCTATAAAAGTCAGAAAGAAAATTATGTATCTACATAACATAGGAACAGAGTAACTAGTCTTCTACCATAAAAAGGGTCACCAGAAGTATTTTTCTTCATAGGAAAGAGCAGTATAAGATCTTAAAGCTCAGGAAAATGTCATTCTGTTGAAAAAGATATGGACATTTGGCGCACCAGATGTGTAAAAGATATTATTTACTGAAACCACAGTCAAATCCTATTCTGAAAATTGAAACAATTTGTGTAACTATTTTTGTTTTTGTTTTTGCTGGGGACAATTTCCATTCCCTAGGGGTGGTTATATTATATCTCAGAAAACTACTCTCAGATGACAAAAAGAATTTGAACTGTAAGGGGTTTCTACAGTTTTCAGAGCTAAGGGATTTCTACAATCTTTACAGCCAAGCCTGTTGAACATCACTCTGGCAACATGTGGGTCGACGATAGAGAAGAAAATTATTTGAGTCCATGAAAATTGTTTTCAGAATAGAATTTACCTTGCAAAAAGTCTTATTTCTTTCACCAATGTCAAATAAGTAGTTTAACTTAACAGAACTTCACTGCTATGTTCCCCAGTAACAAACTGAAGTATGGAGTAGCCACGTGTGGAAAATGATATGACATAAGGTCATAAGGTTTGCGGCATTAGATTACTCTCACTGATTCAGGAAATATTTCATAATCTCCATCAGAAACAATCAAAGAAAAACATGGAAGGGAAAGAGATCACAGTTGGTTTCCAAAAGATTATCACAGTCAAGGTGAGGCAGTGGTTTCTCTCTTCATTCTTAAAAGAACAGTTTGTGATGTGTTAACATCCATAAAAAATAAGTTCAGCTTTCCCAACTTTCCCAACTCATATTTTTTTTATAATATTGTGAAGTCTACAAAGTAGTTTAAATAAATATATGTAATACATGTATATAACTGTAAGGATATAGATAGGGATTACAAAGAATTTTAAGGGATTTTTAATATAGATGTTAAGTAAAAAAGGAATTATAAAATCTACAACGAGAAAAAACAAGACTGAACTTCCTAAGAGGCTCCACAACACAAAGGGACCGGAGGGAGGAGGAGAAAAAAAGACACACTTCAGAGTTTCACAGATTCAGGCACCACAAATTCATGAAAGCATCATTCTGTGCTCCCTTTCTGAATTGGCAATATTCTCAAGTTACTCTAATGCAGTGTTGCCAAGTTTCTAAAAGCTGAAAGAGCTATTGCAACATTTAAAATCAATGGAAATGCTATGATGAAATGTGTCACAAAACTTATCTGGAAGCCATTTACTTTTTAAAGAGCAACATTCTTCTTTCACAGAAAACAGCATTATTGCATTTGGAGAATTTATCGGGAAGGAAAGCCTACTATAAAAAACAAACAAAAAAAAAACAAAAAAAAACCCTGAAAGTAATCTATTTCATAGTTCATTCTAAGTGAAATAAAAAATAAATACAAAAGCAAAACAAAATAGGAAAAATAACTAGTCAGGCCTTTTATTATTACTCTGATATTAATCCATCGTATCATAGATCGGATAGGCAAAATCATGTGTAAAATTTTACACTAGATGATAATCTTTATAGAAGACATTTAATCCTCTTCTTCTTGGTAAGACTAACTCATGACCTGGTCAACTGTTTTAGAAATAATTTATAATTATATTCCTAAATTTTATTCATATAGATGTGATATAAACCAAAGTACATGTATTTTTACTGGAATCCATACCGTATGTTTCAGCTTCCTCCCCTTCTTGGGAAGATTGTTATAGTACCTTCTCCTTTTCTTGGCAAAGTTATTCATCCTTGTTAATCATGTTACATGTCCTGTCCCCTAACCCAGAAATTCAAACTATCCTTAATGTACACAGCCTGTGAAGAATTGCTTGAAAATTTTTTCAGCAAATTTTAGCTGTAGCCATGATTCTGTATGGGAACTGTGAGCCATCAAGAGGAATTTCCAAAAACATATGAATATTTCATACTGTAGAGTGGGAGAAGTATTCAGATCCTTAGAATTTAGGATTATAGAATTCAAAATTTTGATCAGTTTCTCTCTTTTTTGGGGAGAGGGAAGGAACAAAAGCAATAATTGCATAGTGTCAACTCACAGACTGCATTACTGAAAGGTGTTGATATAGCATCCATTACAAAGATGTTTGAAATTGGCTAGAAGAAATTAAGGGTATTATTGATAGAATTTAATAAGAGAGTGTGCAGGTGCAAGAGGCAATGCTGACAAAGTAAGTTTTACCTGTCAAACATTGTGGACTGAATCTTTGATTGTGTTCCCAAAGATCTTTCCTTTAATTTTCTTTTTGTCTCTAAATTCTGTGGCACTATCTGTAAAACTGCTACAAAGAAAACTGGTCTTAGAGCATTTCCAGCTGTGCTAACATCTGGAGAGAGAAGATATCTCAGGAAATATCTGCAGCTGATTATCG